TCCTACGTCTTAATAGCTCACTCAGCTATGAACTGTCAATGGATTAATGACATTAAGTTAGTGCCCTTATGATCCCGTCACCTCTCTGGGCTCCATCTCTGAACATTGCTGCGCTGGGGATCAAGCCCTCTGCACATATCTTTGGAGGACACTTTGTATTTAAATCAGACAACCTATTAAAGATGGTACCTAACTCATACCATTCTAGAGGCTTGATACAGTTTATTTATTACATAACATGGATATCTGAGGGCATTCAGACTTAATTCTTTGGGTGAACTCCTGGCTTAGAAAAGGCTTAGAGTGCCTAATCTATACAATAAATACAAACTCCTGAGTATTGCACACCTAGTTCTGGATTTAGCCCATGTTCCCCTCTTGGACTTCATCTTACTTCCTCAATCACCTACCTGGTTAAAACCATCCTGAACTATTTGGAATTCCCCAAATACCTCATACTGGCTTTTTTGGGGGGTTTTTTATTTTTTACCTTTGCACAGTAATTCTTGACCTTCTCTAACCAGATTATCTGAGTGTTACTTCAACTGAGCTCTTGCAGCCATCAGGCCCAGTGTCCATCCCTGTAACACCTGAGGGCCAGGACTATACACTGTTTATGTCAGCAGGTGTGACAACTTTCGTGCAGAGCCTGGCCTTGTGTGAGCTCTTGATAAACTTCAGTTCCAGGAACCTGGCTCATCTCCTCTGCTACTGAGTGTGGGGCTGCTTATGTAGATCTAAGGATATAAAAAGGTGTGGTGCACAGCCTGCATGCTTAGGGGACTTATTATTTGTTTGGGTTTTTTTTGAGACAGGGTCTCACTATGTAGTTGAGACTGACCTGGAACTCACTATGTAGCCCAGGCTGTTTTGAACTCACAGTGATCCTCCTGCCTCAGCCTCCCAAGTGCTGGGATTATAGAGGTGCTCCACCACACCTGGCTTAGGGGGATTATAATAAGCCTTTTACATGGTACCTAGATACAGTATTAAACCCTACCTCCAGTATTACACAGTGCTCAAGAGCTTGCATGGAGAAGTTGGGACTGATTTCAAATTGTGATTCTTTTATTTGTTAATTTATGGACCTAGGCAAAAACTGTCAAGCCACTCTAAACTTCAAGCACATCATATATTAAACTAGCATAATAATGAGTAGTAACCTTGCAGGGCCATGAGCTTTAAATGGAACATATGTATTAAATGCCTGATCCAGGGCTCTCAGAAATTGACAGCATGAAATGGAGCAGCGAACGTGCCCGGTGCCACATAAATGTTGCAGGTGGAAAGTGTCACAGGAGTTGAGAGGAGGAGTAATCAGTATGGGTTACAGAGAGGGTGAGACCCTGTGGAAGAGGAGGAATGTGAATCAAGTTTAGAAAGAAAAGTGGACCTTAGAATAGGGGTCAGGCAGGCCTTTCCAGAGGGACGAAGCAAAGACAGAGCCCCAGAAGACTGTGTGCACCATTCCTATGGACTAGTTTTGCAGCTAGGGTTTACCTTAATTTATGTATACGCGCTCAGACATTTTTCCAAACACAAGATGAACATATTGATCTCTAGACATAGTTGTTTTCTTATTTTAAAGCATTCGGGCCCTCCTCTCTTTTTCCATACCTTTTTGCTAAATCCATGTGGAGTGTACAGTTTTGCTGTTGGAGTCAGCTCAAGGGAACCATTTTTGGGTTAGCACAGAGAAACTGTTTACAAAACTAGCTGTGCATCATGTCACCTGTGGAAACTTTTAGTCCAAAAGATTTCCACATCCCACCCCAGATATTCTGGAATTGGGTCTAATATGGGACTAGAGTTTGCATTATTAAAATGCTCCCTTGGTAGTTCAGTTGGCCAGCCATCTTAGGGAACTAGTAGCAGTTTAGGGAATCTGTCCTGATCAGTTTTGAGCCATACCATCTTATAATCAAGCCTGACAATTAAATCAAATTTGTTTGAACTTTGTGGGGAGCTGAAAGTCATAGCTTCACAGAACTTAGCAATTTTATACACAGAAAAGAATGCAGAAGACACAATACTTACCTTTCCTGTAGGGAAAATCTCATACCTTAGCATACCTCAGGATAAGTTGGGTAAAGGAAATACCCTGGTTAAGGGAGGCTCTCTATCTGCTGAATAATGTGTTTCTTTCTTAAGTACCTCCATTTACTCAAAGTCTTACGTCCAAATTTTTACTCTTTGTGCTTTACCATTTGTTCTGAGTGATATTCTGGAATTATGCTTCCTCTATGATAACCTTTTGGGTTTTGAGAAACAGTTAAAATATCATGTGTTTCCTTAGTCATTTCTCCTCTGGAAGAAACATATCCACTGGTTCCCAGAAAGACACCTCTGGACTCCTATTTGATAATGTTTATTTTTAAAAGTGATCTGGACCTGTCATGACCTCTTCTTTGAACATAGTTGCTGCTCAGCAGTGATAGTCTGATCCTTTAGGCTAAACACTCCAAGAACATTGCTTTTAGATTTTTCTTCTAGAATTTATTGGGCATTGGTATGGCTCTGATCGATATCGCCCTCCCTCTCTCCTGCCCTTTAAGAATTAATACATTTGCCCATTTGTATATTTCTAACATCTCCCACGTTCTCTAAGAATTCTCTAAGATTACTGATACCCAGGGCCAAGTCCATTCCTGGAATTTTCTTCTCTTTTGGGGGGCCTCTTATCTAGCTGCTGACATATGGTAAAAACCTCTATAGAATCAACAATTAGACAGACTGTGCCTCCATTCTGAGATGTGTTTGGTTGAAGTTTGGCCTCTGGATGGAGAAATCTTGCAATGGCCATGTTTCCCTGGATCGCTGCCTACCAGGAAGTGTGCTCAGATGCAGCTGAAGGTAACATTTCTGAGCACTTGTTCCCTGGTTTAGCAGCCCGGTGTGTTTGGGCTCTTCTGGCAATGAAAACTTGGTAACAACATGGGTACCGGGGATCGAACTCGGGCCCTTGTGCTTACGAGGCAGGCAGTGGAACTACTGAGCCAAATCCCCAGCCCAGCAGATGTTTTAATTTTATTCTTTACCTCACAGTCAGCCTCTCTTCTCTCTTCCTCTCTTCTCTCCCTTCTCTGGCTAGAAAATCATTCTGTTAGCCAAAGAATGACTTAATTGTGACATATGTAGCTTCTGTCAGATATGACATCGTTCCAAGGGAACCTTAAAATCCAGACATCTCTTCTGATCACTAACTCACTGTAAGATACATTCTGGCCTACAGTGGAGCAGCCTGATACAGGGGCAGGAGCACAGGCTCTGATACCAGGATGCCCGGGTTCAAATCCTGGCTCTCACACTTATCTGCTGTATGCCTTTGAACATATCCCCTTGCATTTCTGTGCCTTAGTTGCCTCAGGCTTAAAATAAGGGTAATATTAATACCTACTTACAAGGATTGCTATGAGGATTAAATGAGTCATTAATATAAAATTCTTAGAACAATTTCTGACATACCGTTATGGCTCAGTAAGAAGGAAGGCTCAGAGAAGTGGAGTAATTTGCCTAACATGGGATAAGGAGTGGGCATACCTGTCTGACCCCAAAGGTCATCGTACTTCCCTGCCTTATTTTGCCTCTGTGTAGTTCTCGATTTGTCTTTCTTAGCCTTATCTCTCTCAGAAGGAAGATAACACAAGAGGAATAGTGTCCAGGATTAATTCTTACTAGTGAGCACTAGGTTTGGTACGGTTTGGTAGACTTCCTTGTTCATTCTTTGGTACTACCTTCACCTTGTATGCTGCTTAGCACAGCACCTGGTACATGGTAAGCTTGAGATGAATAATTATTGAATGGATCATATGCAAGTGCTTTTTGAGAGGATAAGGATATTAGAAGACAGGAACCGCCTCCCACTGAGGCAGGTAACACACTGGCCAAGGGCACAGCCATGGATAAAGACTGCCTGCCTTTAAAATTAGATGTTCCTTAAAGATTATCGGATTATAAATTAGGTTATGTAACTTTACTGGTGCCTCAGTTTCCTGAGGATAGTAATAATAATAATAATACCAGTCGCATAGTATGGTCCCATGAGATAAGTCAAAGAAAACATTTACGCCACTCTCTGGCCCATAGTAAGCATGCTAGGAAGGCTAGCTGAGCTTATTATAACTAAATTGCAAAAGATTGAACCTGTGTCTCATATTTTAGGAGAAAAATATTAGGACATTTAGAGCTAAGGTACATATGATCCAATGACTGGAGACTTGGAAGAGACCGCTGGTCATGTTCAATTGCAGTCCAGGAAGCACATTTCTAGCTGTCTCACCAGGAAAGATTTATTTCTGACAGAAATCTAAATGTAGAGCAGATGATTAAGCAAATGGCCTGTGAATGTGTCAGAGGGAATACAGTGCTTAGGAAGCATCCATGTGAATTTACGGAGAGTAAAGGTTTTGGCAGGTGACTTAGTGAAAACAGTAGGATGGTGATGGCAAGCCTTTCAGAGCTTTCTGTGGTAACAGCTGGCCGCAGCATGCTTATCACAGGTTCACCACCACCGCGACCTGTCTCTTCCAAAGCCCATGTAGGGTTTTATTTGAGGTGTGAATTAATCATTGCTACATTTTCCAGGAAGCATTTAGAAAGCCTATGGGAGAACAGAAGCATAAAAGGTTAAGTGTGTGAGTCCTGGAGTCAGAAGGGCCTCGCATTTCCCCTTGAAACGGGGCCTCAGTTTCCCCATCAGTCAGATATAGATAATAATCGTAGCAGTCTCCGATTGTAGTTTAGAGACCTTCAGAGATGGTGTAGGAGTAATTCTGTGTAAATGTAAGCCCTTAATAATAACAATCCCAGATAAGAGAGCAAGGTAGCACCTGGTGATAGACAAGGAGGTTCCCAAAGGTTTGTCTTTGGAAAGCTCAGGTTTCAAATGTTCAGAGGCAGCCTGGGAGTTTGCTTTGCAGTTGACTAAATAAATCTGTGGGAGCAGCCTGAATAGCAGCCTGAAGTCTGAGCATGTGTTGCTTCCTCTTCTCTCCCCGCAGGAGCATTCGTAGTGTGCTGGACCCCAGGCCTGGTGGTCCTGCTCCTGGACGGCTTGAACTGCACTCAGTGCGGTGTGCAGCACGTGAAACGCTGGTTCCTGCTGCTGGCGTTGCTCAACTCCGTCATGAATCCCATCATCTACTCGTACAAGGACGAGGACATGTACAGCACCATGAAGAAGATGATCTGCTGCTTCTGGCAAGAGAGCAATGCGGAGAGGCGCCCATCCCGCATCCCCTCCACGGCCCTCAGCAAGAGCGACACGGGCAGCCAGTACATGGAAGATAGTATTAGCCAAGGCACGGTCTGCAACAAAAGCAGCTCCTAAACTTCAGACTTCGCTCCACCCACCCAGGCTTCCCTGGGAACCAGAGCTCTTAAGAACGCTTACCTGTCTCTGTGAAGCCCACAACAGTGTTACTTGAGGTCTAAATTAATCACCGCTAGATACAAAACAATGTTTTTTCTTTGATGGGCAGTGAAGAGAAGACACAGGTGCATTTAGCGAGCATGCGCAGACACTCAGGCCGCAGTGCCAGTTCCTGCTGCTCATCCCGGGAGCTGCTCAGGGGATCTGCCAGGCTGACTGGGATTCCTGGCTCAGCTCGGTCCTGTAGCCATTCTCTTTGTGTTTTAAAAGATGTCTTTAAGGGGCCTAGGCCACAGTAAATAATAAATATTGTCACTTGAGCCACCTAATGCAGCTGCTAGGAAAGCCTATGTAGTTCTTTCTGCATGCATTTAAGACTCTCAGAAGTGCTTCAGCAATAGTATACTTTTTCCTAAAGAAATCTGACCAGTAGCTAGCTGTTAATAGAAATCTACAAATAACAGGTCAATAAACTTGATTTTTTTTTTAAACCAAAGAAGCATCATCTGAAGTAAGAAAGGGCCTTGGTGTGGCCCTCTACCCATGCGTGCATGTGTACGCGCTTGGCTACTTACACAATGTAACTTTGTATTGCAGAATTCCTAGGACAGGGTTGGTGAAGCAAATGCACCGGTCATCTAGACTTTCTGGCCTAGGATGGTCACTGTAGAAGTGATCTTTTGTGCTGTAAAAACAAACAGAAAGTTCACTTAAAGTCAGACAGTTATTTTTAAATTTGTTTTTTGTTTTTGTTTTTGTTTTTGTTTTTGTTTTTTTTTTCAGTACTGGGAACCAAACTCAGGACCTTGCGCTTGCCAAGCAGGTGTAGCAACACTGAGTTACATCCCTGGCCCTAAAGTCAGACAATTTTTACAGCAGAGAAAAAGATATGTTGGCAAGAAAATGGAATCAGTTCCATGTAGGATCAAATCTGATGAGGAGAGTCCTTATTTGTAGTTTCCTCCAAATAAAGGAAGATTTAGTACATGTTAGATTTAGTACATGGACTAATTTTACATCTCATATTTTCCCCAAGGTTATCAGAATATTTTGGGACTTATGTTATTTGTGGACTATATTTTGACCCAGGTTCTATTCTGAGTTTTTCTCTTTCAAAGACCTAAGTGGGCAACATGAAAGGTAAAAAAACCAGAAAAATAATGTTTTGCACACATAGGCTACTGACCAAAGTTTTCCATATGTCATTTAGAATACATTCTGATTTAAAATATAAATAATTTCAAGCCAGATAATATAGTATTCATGTAGTTTGCAAAAGAAGTTTACATTTTTTTAGCTATTGTGATGTAACGTTTATGTGCAAGAACTACTTATAATAAGAGAATTTGAGAAGTCATGCTTTTAGACATTATGGCCTAAAATAAGAGTATTATGATTTTAAAGTGTGGATTTCATAAGCTCTGTGTAGTAAGCGGTCTATCTGAAGCTTATATCAAAGCTACCTATAAAATAAAATTTAAGACAGATCTGTTCTCTCTTGTTGAGGCATATTATTGCTTTGTGTATTTTCTAAGTAAAAATATACTTTGTGATAACTATGCACCATTTCTATTGCAGAAGAAAAATCAAATTTGCCATGAAGAACATACTCTTGATGTTTTATGTAAGCATTTTGAATCTACAGCTGGCCAAAGGGTGGAGAGTTGAAATTGAATTCCAGTCCCTGAATAGCTACTAAGGGATCTTTAAAGGTTTTATTTTGAGGAAAGAACCATTTTTAGTACCCTGCAGCAGAGTGTCATATTTGCAGTGGTGTCTGGAGGGGATCCAAAGTGTGGAAATGCAGGGTCGAAATATATAGTTTTTACTCTTATGCACACATATATCAGCAGGGATACGTGAATAGAGAAGTCATGAATAATTGGAAATGGTGAGTGCCAGAGGTCACAGCTCTCACCAAGACCACACAGCAAAATCATTAGAGAAATAAAGCAAAGAAATACTATCTCTACAAATTCTAAAGTCTCAGCTTGATCTACAAGTCATTATAATGATGATAGGGAATATTTCATCAGGATCTTGTCAGATACTCCCTACCCGAATGACACTCATGTTCTTAGATTCACAGCACTACACAAGCTGTTGTGATCGATCTCTATTGGTGAGAGAAGTTAGTCCTTTATTAAGACTGCTTACTTGGGAGGAAATAATTTGTTGCGATTTCTGGGTGGATTTCTTTTTTCAGTTGAGTAGTTGGCCTGAGGCCATTTGATAGCCTTTATGGGAGTACCTATATTTGTGCAATTCCAAATACAAGCCATCTCAAGTCTTTTATGGTTCAGTTAAATATAGGCCTCCGACGAAGTTCTGATTTCCTTCCTAATCAGTCCTTAGATGATTTTTATAAAGACTAAAGATTAAAATGTATCACTTTCAGTGCCCTGGGTTCCCTGGTACTCTGAGCACATGCTCAGTCCTTGCTGGATGGCCTGGGATGAAGGACTAGTGGGAGAACAATATCAGCCTCGGTTGCAGCAGCAGGTGTGACTCAACACCTGGGGAAGTCACTGGACGTAGACTGCAGGGCTTGCCATGCTCTGTGTTTATAGATCAGTTTTCCTGGGATTAAAACTATTTCATGATTATTCATTAATATTCATTATTTTGATGGGGAAGGTAAGATTGTTTGACTTTTTTTTTTAATTGGTTAAACTGGCATAATGCAGTTTAGCCCTGTGAAGATACCCATGAAGGTGACTTAGTGATAAACTCAAAACCTATCAGAGCCTTGGCTAAAATTATCCACAGAAACTGCCTACATGATTATGTGTTGCACTGTGCACTAAAATGAATTAATAACACAGAAAAACAGACCTAACTTCTGGGAAGCTCACCATAGAATTCCATCCCCTTTGTGGATCACTAGCTATGGAGTTAAATTGGAAACCGCCAGGGCTCTTTCCAACTGTATATATTGTCTTTTAGGCATAGAGCTGGGGTTAGCATCACCTAAAGATGGGAAGCATTTTTTGTTTTGTTTTGTGTTTGGTACTGGGGATTGAACTCGGGTCCTTGTGCTTGCAAGGTAGGCCACAGAACCGCTGAGCTAAATCCCCAGCCCCAAGATGGGAAGCACTTTTAAAGGAAGGGAAGCTGCATTTTGTGTGAAGGGTGCTGTCCTGAATACATTATATAATTTAAAATACTCACAATTCAAGAGTAGTTTTCACAGAGGAATAAATATTAGGTGGGATGCTGTCACCGTGGGTTTTTCCCCATTGCTATATTTAGTTTTATATCATTTTCTCCAGTGCTCTCTTGAGTGTGCTGTCTCCTAAATTAACAGATGGAAGACTATTGATTACTGTTGTTAGGGGTTCCGAGTGTTTTATCGTCTGTCACTTCTGAGCTAAAGGTTTATAGTGCAAACCACAGTACAATAGTTATCGACTCAGGTGTAAAAGTTGCAGTGCACATCAGCAGAAGTGTGGGCCCTACTATACTGTGTCATCTAGCACCTCGGCGTGACAATCTGTGAACATGGTTTACAGTGCACTGGGGCGGCCAGTTTGGAATTTGCAGCTCTTGGCAGCTTTGCAGAAGGTTGCAATTTTATGCTGCAAAACTTTATAATATCTTTCTATATCAGCAATTTCAACTTTGCATAGTTGAAGTTTCCATAAATGCATCTCTCATGTATTCGTTACTGATTTAGAGCCTGTGTTTTGTGCGTTGGTAAGGTATATTAAATTGAAAGGGAAAAGAGCTGCCTGCCTCAAGCCTGTGTTCAGTCTTCGTGCACACTAGAAAGTGGTACCCCTTCCTCAAGCCACTGTTGCTTGTTTCAAAAACTAATCGAATGCACTACTTTTGTTAGAACTTTATTGCTGTCTGGCCAGAAAACTGTGCTACTGCATATGTCTGCCCACAGCATGATGGGCATGTGTAGGGTTGGGTAGTTCTCACACAAAAACGCATATGGCGACCATGCCTCAAAAAGCATTGGATAGAAATTAATAATATCTGGATTCTGATTTCTGTTCCGCTGCAAACTGTGTGTGGAAATCTAGGTAAGACTGCTGATACAAATGAGAGGTTTAAATTAAATGACCCGTAAGGAACTTTGAACTCCAAAATTCCAATTTTAGGCATCATCTCCCAGATGTAATCCTAGAAAGAGCCCTAATTCTTGATTCTTTACTCCTTTCACTTCTTGCATAGAGAGTTCAAAGAAAAGGAGAAAAGCAAATGTGTTTTGATTTATTGCAGTTTTAGGGTGCATAAGAATCACCTAGGGAGATGATCTAAAATCTGTTTCCGGCAGGTGGGAAATATATAATCATAAATCCATCATGAATACAGGGGAGAAAAGAGTTCGAAAATAAAATTGTCATGCTAGTCAGTGGAGAACCTGAGACGCTTGGTAATCTGCTTACGTTTGCTAAAAGTGAACCTAATTTGAAATGTGTAAGCTCCTGTTTATTCCATCAAGGCAAATAAACCACTTATTTATTTTATATTTAATTTGACGAATGTCTTTTGAACATTTCCTAGGAGTTGAGGAACCCACCAACCCCCTAAAATAGCTCCACCTTTTAAATTAAAAAAAAAACATAAAACATAAAACAAATACACAAATCAAGGGAACTGAAAGTAAAAGGTATGGCTGAAAATGTTAGGGAAGGACATTTATGTCCTATGACAGCCAATCTCAAGCTGTCACGTTGGTGATACTGGTGGTATTTTCCATGTGACCTCAAAAATACCAGTTTTTGGAGTTTTGGGCAGCTGTTTAGAGGACTGCAATTTTGCCCAGCAAAACTTTGTTTCTTTAATATCAACACTTTCAATCTTCCATAGTTGAATTCTCACAGATATAAAATTCTGTGAGATGGGGGTGGGGAGACAAAATCATAAATGGGCTACTTTTTTTGGATTAAAAACACTTTGCAGTGGCCGGGGATTTAGCTCAGTGGTTCCACTGCTAAATTCGTTCCCTGGTACCAAAAAACAAAAAAACAAAAACAAAAAAAGCACACTTTGCAATTTATGGGTTGAGGATCTGGTGCTGATAACCTAAATTAGACTTACTTGCTTTGTTTTGCTTAGGTGAATACCTGGCCACAAGTTTATATAAATTTAGGAGCTGGAGTATATCAGTCAGTCTTCAGTCAGATTATTATTACAGATTATTACAGAGCCCTTATGCAAATCTGTAAAATCAAAGCTGAGATTAGAATGTAAAGATAAGCTATGGTGGTCACAGTTGATATACAACCATGGCAAATATGACGTAATCTTTCCTTCAGGTCCCTAGGTCTTAAAAGAGTAATGAATGAGCAAAAGTAGGTGTAAAGTTCAGACAGGCAAAAGTCATCAGAGTTAGACTTTAACGTTCCAGTGCTCCTTCCTCTACAGGGCAATGAACAAACCTCTTTACGGAGAACAGTAATAGATTTAAATTTCAGAGTTTATGGTTTGGGAAGAAAAATAACACCAAGTTTCTTATTTTGATAGAAATGAGGGCCAAATTAATGCATCTGTGAGGAAGTTGCAATGTAGGGGTTATTTCAATTTTACTTGTGAAGAAACTGAAGATTACAAGATTGAATGAGTATTTATGATGCATAGTGACTAACTCAAGGATCGAAGTTAGCTAATTTTTTAAAATCTTTTTGAGTTTATTGGTACTTTTTAAGTATAAAGTACAGTTACATTCATTATTGGGATCCTGTATCTCTTTATGACAGATCATGGTTCTCATTTTTCCCCATGCCCCTGCCCTCCCTTCA